TACAGGGAGAGTTAATCGACATATTTGCCCTTTTGGTTTTAGTCCTCACATACTGGTCTTGTTAACCGTCGCTGTTTCCTATTGATAAATTCACTATGCCGGGTTCGAGATACAGACCTGCTATCTCTATACCATCAGCATCTGAAAGGAATATTTAGTGTCCAAACCTGTTTTAGACTAGCATGATCAGAATCAGCCAAAGGCGAAGCGCACGCAACATTTAGGGCAGACATCTGACGAATAACCTAAATGAATACCCACAAGGGAACTTAAATTGGTACGCCTACTGCTGCCGCTTGCAGATTGAATCTTGCAAGCACAGAAAATCTTTTTAACGAGTACAAATCATAAAATCAAAACACTTTGGTTCGGATGCAATATCCCTACTTTGTTACTGAATTAGGCCCCTGCATCGTTGATTGATGGTTGTTAGCACATATTCAGGCATCTGGAACTGCTACAGTTGTCATATTTGCACCTAGTAAGGTGTGACGCAAGCCAATTGATTTACTTTTTTAGCAGATCTTATATGTTTTAAATGTATAGTATACTAGCGCTGGTGCCCCATCTTGAGACTGATGTTGTATTCATGATGCTTATTCACCGCAGTTGGGCTAAACCAACTTACACTTAAACTAGGTCTTTTAAGCTGGGTAAATTTCATTCCAGTTTATTTGGTTTTGTTCTGCCTACCTGAATAATCTACTATTAACTGGCTACTTGGCTTAGGCTAATTGTGCATATCTTCGTTAATTTTATTGCATTTGTATCATTTTTGAGTAACTTCTGGACCTTTAGTACTTATAGCGGTTTCCTTGATAACCAACTTGCTTCACATGCTAATTAACGGTTATGTCGGCATAGCCGTATGCTTTACCAGATATATTTCTTTTGATAATGTCATTTCAAGTGATTGGCTGTTGTTTGACATCCCCGGTGTGGCTGCGCTTGATGTGCATGCCACCAACGTGCCTACCTGTCAATTACCCACTAGCTCGTCCATACTGGCTCCAGGAGACCGTTGGTCGTTGCTGGAGCGGACGGGGTGCACATTACTTGTGACTGTGCTAGGATTAAAGCGTGGTTCTATGCCCTCAGTGTGGAGCGGACTACAATCCAGCCACCGCGTTGTGTGCGCTTGATTCCCAAATATAACGTGCTTGTGTTTGCCTGTGAAGGAGTGTGGGTCGGCTCCGTTGGTGATACGTGGCCCCCATCCACATGCCTCTCGATCTCATTCCTTCTGGTTTACACTAAATTTATGGATTGTGTGGATAGATCTGTGGGGGTGCAGTACAAGCCACCCATGGTACCGTCGTGTGCGCAGGCGTTCTGTGGCTGGTCGCAGTGACGAGCGAATTCGAAACCGGATGCCGCCAACCATACAATCGCTGTGACATTGTCAGCGCGTGCGTGCTAATCGGAAGTACGCTCAATCGATTCGGTTCACCGAACTCTATCCAACGGGACCTATATTTCTGAACTTAGTCCAACGATACGTGGGTACATCACAAACGAATGCTTCGGAAGGCTATACACTAACGTCAACTTGAGTACGTTTGCTAATTTGAGTTCTATCAGTACTTTTGTGATACCATTCGACATAGCTTCTTTAAGGCTGTCAGACAATACATAACTTAGTAATTTGGACTACTGTATACCATAACTATAAGCATCTTTTCGCATCTTATGTTACCACAATATTTTACTTGCATTTTACTGCACAAAGTCTGTGTGATTTTGGCTATTCGTGCGCCTAGTGACGCACGACTTTCGAACCCGATGACCAGAGCAAACAACAGGCCACCCAAACGGCGCGACCAGGGCAATCTAAAAGTGTATACGGACCGTTAACCCATGAGCCGGAGAAGTTTGTCGACCGGGAATCCAGTGAGCAACAAACGCAAGGTCAATCATAGGTCAGACAAGCGGGGAACAGCGATTCGCACAAAAATCATGCTTTCGTTCTGTGCCATCTGCTACGACGTAACAAATGTGCACATTAAACCGAACGGAGGTAAGAGCGTATGGACAGATAGGTTGTGGTTCTGTAACTTTTGTTCAGATAGTCCGATAATTAAGATTGTTCAAAAGCTTACGATAAGGTGTGGGATGTTCACTGTTACGTCGACAGAGCAAAAGGGACTGATCGCGGTATTGGGAGGGAAAATCTTAGAACTCGAGTTGCAGATTTATGTATTACGTAACCCGAATCCCGTAGCTCTTAACAGGCAAAAGCTCTTCAGTAACAGCGCTACACAGTCCAGCGAAAGGCGAACACCATTAGTGACAAATAGGAGTGGAAAGAAGCCGGTTGAACGGTCTTGCAAATCACAAGTAATACTGCAAACTATGCGGAGTTAGGCACGAATGGTAAGATCACCTCCTTCAGTAGCTAGACAATCACACTTGATTCCTACAGATATTAAAAATAACGGCGTTGCACGTAAACGATCTTGATGTAGCCTAGGCCTGTCGTCTACGGAAGACGAGCCAGACACTTCCACTCGACAAACCTATGCTCACAAGGAACTGCAAAACAAACAATTATTACACAACCAAAAGGCGATGACATTGAAATGTACAAACGCCCCAGCACACACCATCGAATTGCTGAAAGGTAGACAAGCCGAGGAGCAAAACCGCTGAGCTGAAATAGCCTGTGCACGTGGAATGAAAGTTCTTTTAACTGGTCTAATAAAGCCTTTCATGAAATCCAACATCTCCAAACGTAGAGGAGCCTCGGTTATTGTGGGTAATATTTGACAATACACGCGACATGGAAGATGTTCTCTTGGCAAGCCACCTTCGAGTGAACTCTTCTGTCAGTGCCTGCATTTTCTTGCCAGGTCATGGGTAGAAGGACGGAAGCAGACATCCAACCTTATTTTGTCACGTCAAAATAAGATGAAGTGGTACTGGTTCATTG